CCATTGGTGAACGTTTGAAAATGCACATGTCTTAAAAATGGCGGTGGCTCAACAGTGTCTATATGAGATGAGCAGATGACTAAACTCCATCACGCCAGACATGAGTGTATTTAGTTTAGCTTTTGTGAACGTCTGCTGCTTTTAGGTGTCTTTAAAAAGGAGGTTGCTCCCAAGTTATAATGAGACTAGTTAACGTCATCACGACTAATATTAGTCACTTTAGCTTAGCGGTGGTGATGTCAGGTCATGCGACCATGATGTAGTTTGTTAATAGCATAACGTTAACTTTTTACCTTGCAATTGCATTTACACTTCAACAATAATTTAAGTGGTGTTAATATGTGGAGATTATCCTGCTCAACAAAACGTGTATGTATTATAAATGTGTTTAACATTTATCTTAAATATCCCGAAATCCAATGGAAAATTCCAATTGGCTTTTTGATGAGGGAGCCCTCGCGATGCTATCTTCATGGTCGGCCTACAAAAATACGCGTTTACTGCACCACTCTGTAAACAGAAGAGTAACGGGAAGCTTTCCCATTCCTTTTTTCATACTAAACACTTAACATTGAATTGAAATGTATTGAACATACTTGTCCCTGTGATCATTTCAGAATACTCTATAGTTTCACTGATAGAAAACAATGCTTTGAGGGTGGTCCTCAAAATGTAAACAAACAGGAGTTATGAGATGTGAAATCATTCTTCTGTAATCCTACAAAACTGACAGCTCTAAACTGGTTTGGTTTACTTATTAATAGAAGTGTCTGTGAAGCGTGTATGGATCTTACTTAGTGAGGCATGGGACCATCCTTCTAACAAAGGAGTGGAAAATTACTAACACGCACGCACGCATGCACACACACACACACACACACACACTCTGCTATGCTCTGTGTCCACATGAGTTGTGATCGGGTTTATTATTGACCCGGCTGCTGCTCAGTGACATATTAAAGGGACAGTTCAATAAAAAGTTGTTGGTTTGCACAAAAGGCCATTTCAAAACATGTGAAACATCTACGTCAAATGTTTCTTGTGATAACTCGCTGACATGAGCAGAGCATTTCACTGTGACTCATTTATACCTTTCACCCATGCATTAATGATAAATCTTCTCTTAACGGGTTTGTGCAGACAAACCACACACAAGCTTATAAAAATATGGTTCAAATAATAAATAAACAGAAGAATAAAGCAAATACATAGAACTGTTACAATCAAACTATTTTTTTAACGATCAAATAGATAAAACACAACACATAATATATAAGAATCAGTAAAGCAGTAACATTACACATTTTTATAAAAGACAACAAAATAACACTGTCAAAGTTATTTTTTATTATTTCCGCTGATGGAAGTTCAGCACATTTACATTTTCCAGTAAACATATTTTTAATAATACTTTTAATGATTAAATCAAAAGGAAGATTTTTTTTGCGGAAATGTAGAAATCATCGGTCGGTCTCTGTGGAGAAATAATGGTATTGTGAGATATGAATGCAGTCATAAAAGGCATAAACCTGGAAGTTCCCCCTTTTGATTTCTGTTTTTGTTTTCAGTAAAATACATGTTTTATTTCAATTGAGCTACAAATTCGTTTTGATTTAATGTTACATTTACATCTGCATAGTGAATATTTAGACTACAGTAAGCCTACATGTTAATTAGTAAAGAAAATAAATGTGCTTGATGGAAGAGTAGCATTAAGAGAACACATTTAAATTGAGTGTTTTTTTTCAAGTCATAATCCAATCTAGGAAGCATGTCTGTGTTTTCTCTGTATGATCATCATGTGACATCCAGAGGATGTGACTCTCTCTCTCAGGCGTTTACACAAACAGAGGAAGTGAGTCATCGCTGTGTTATGGGCTCTCAAGGATAGGAGGGAGGTGCAGGCAGCAGCGATTTGATCCTACATCTACTGTGAATTCTTGTTATTTGTTTCTCTGCGCCTCACTTTAATTCCTAATATTCCTGACATGTTAATATCCGAGAACCCGAATTATCCATGACACAAGAGGATTGTAACCCCCCCCCCCCACAAACACACACACTAACACCAACACTGCAGCATGGAGCTGCTGTGGGGGGGGCATGTGAGGCATGTCAGACTGCATGCCTCCTCAAACATCTGCTCACTGTGATAAAACACACAACTGGCTAAAAGGTGTGTGTGTGTGTGTGTGTGTGTGTGTGTGTGTGTGTGTGTGTGTGTGTGTGTGTGTGTGTGTGTGTGTGTGTGTGTGTGTGTGTGTGTGTGTGTGTGTGTGTGTGTGTGTGTGTGTGTGTGTGTGAGATCATACCACTGCTAAAAGTCAAGGAGTTATAGTATGTAAGACTTCATTTGTCAATTGCCTTGTGTCCTAACAAAGAGGGAATAATACATAATGTCGCTAACACACACACACACTTCTTACAGTGTTTACTCTCACCAAAAGTTCAGTTTTGATATCCTCTCTTTTACTTTTCATGGTGACATTTTTAGTGTTGTTAGGCCAGGGAAACACCCTTCTGTTTTGGCTCTGTTTACTACAGGACAATACAAATGGGATTAGATTAATGGTCATGAAATGCTAACGGCACAGGAAGTACTGTAAGCTAGCCTGTTAGCGTTTTGTTCCCTGTATATGAAAGCTATGTTATTGACAATAATTGTACTACTGTACTGACACAAAATAAGTGTCATATTTCAGTTAATATTGAGCTGGTCATGAACAGTGTGTAATAACAGCCGTGTGTGTGTGTGTGTGTGTGTGTGTGTGTGTGTGTGTGTGTGTGTGTGTGTGTGTGTGTGTGTGTGTGTGTGTGTGTGTGTGTGTGTGTGTGTGTGTGTGTGTGTGTGTGTGTGAGATCATACCACTGCTAAAAGTCAAGGAGTTATAGTATGTAAGACTTCATTTGTCAATTGCCTTGTGTCCTAACAAAGAGGGGATAATAATACATAATGTCGCTAACACACACTGTTAGAAATTAAAATCAATGTTAATAGCATAATTGGTCTAAAATATATCGTCAGTTTTAAAAGCTGTTTTATTGTGAAAAAACCCGGAAGTTCTCAGTCTCAATGCCAAGCTTTTATTCTGAAAATCCTTCATATCCGGTCAGTACGTAGCATGTCGTAAAAGTGTTTCTAGGACTTCTAAACTAACGATTACAGCTGTTTATAAGGTATTAAATAGAAAGTCATGACAGAGATAATGAGGAGAAAATGCTTAAGGAAGTAGGCAGAGAATATCAATGTCGAAATCATCTGTGCTCTCGCGATATCGAACCGGCAAATGAGTAGGGAGGGCCCACTATTGCACAGTGGCAAACAAGAGGCTTGATTCCAGCAGATGGTCAACCTGGACCAACTAAAGTCCATAGACAAGCTGTGGTTGAATATGAGAATAAAGAATACCTACAACAGCAAGAAGCATGGGACAAAGCCGGACAACCCCCTTGGTATGGACCTGCTAAAAACGCAATCAAAAAAGCGGAAAAAAGACAAGCAACAGCTATACGTCTGCTGCACCATCTGAAATATGTCACCCAAGAATCGACAAGCGTGTATGAGCATCAAGACGCCGAACTGACAGCAACGGAAGACACCACAAAGACAATAGAAGAAGCTCCACTTAACCAAACGTCAAAGCTCTATCCAAGCTTGTCTGAAGCACCTCCTCCCTACATAACAGAAAAAAACCCTTTCCCCCACCCCTCCATACAAGCCCCAACTTTCGGCATTTTAGGCGGAATGTTGAATTTGGAGGGAGTCCCCACAGAAAGAACTGTCAAAGATTTGGATTATGAAATAAAGATGATACACAGTAAAGCTAACCTGCTGCAACAGGAACACAAACGCCTCATAGAAATGCAAGACTTGAGAAACATGCCTACAGACTACCAACTTCCGCAAAACAGATTACAAACACCCATGTCATTCCAGCCCCCCAAACAATCACAGGGGGCAGATCCATTACCAATGGCAACTCATGCAAATGCAACCGAGCATGACCTCTCCTTTCAATCACAAACGTTCAGAGAACAACAAGAACACAGAAAAGCTACAGACGGCAGATACGCTGAAGAAAGACGGAAAGCAGATGAAGCATACAATGACATTCTGGCAGAAAGGCAAAGGGAAGAAGATAAATACCAACAACGTCTGGCGCAAAGAGAAGAGGACCGATTCCAAGACATAATGGCAGATAGACAACGGAAAGAAAAGAGAGAACAGGAAGAACAAAGATGGGATGAACTACAAAAAACACGCCGAACTAACTACTCTCCTGACACAGACTACTATGACAATGACAGTACACATTCTGCAACCAGCAGACACTCAGTATACCCGGCACACTCACAGCAACAACTGACTCCTACGCCACCCACAGTAAACAAGAGAGGGGACGAAAACCACCAACAACACACTGGGTCAGGACCCATAGCTGGAAGACTCAGGGGAACTGCACATAGCATCATGCCGTTGATGGCAGCTGGAAACGGAAGATTTCAATACCAAGCATGGACTCACAGGGATATGGAAGATTTAGTGAACAAGCTACCTCCACTCACCAAGGGAGGTCAGAAGTGGGTGCATCAACTGGAGAAATACACTGTCCAAGACCACCTGTGCTTGGGAGACATGAGGGCACTGATCGGACGGATAGAAGGAAGACTAGAGGCCAAAGCAGTAGATTCCAAGGCCCAATGCACGCACGACCCAGATGACACTTCATTCAACTACATCAGGTCGAGCTATTGGGCTGCTATTCGACACATCTACCCGACAACACGCAGTTTACATGCCCTCACCAGCCTAAAAAAAAACATGGGGGAAGACATGCATGCCTTCTTGAAGAGATGTGAAGGAGTGTGGGAGGACTGCACGGGAGAACGACATGATCTTTCTCCATCTGTTGAAATGTTGTGGAAGAACGCTGTCATTAAAGCCCTTCCCCCATCAGTGCAGGCACGCCTAGAAGAAGTGGTGGGATTAGACGCTAAACCCGCTGAAGAATGGAGACAACATCTCATTCACCACGATATCAAATACCAGACAACACTGATGACTAATGATGACGACGACAAAACACTAGCCCGAAGACTTTTGAAGATACAAATAGCTGAGAAAGATACCGAAGCAGCCAAAAACAAGAAAGTGGCAAGGCAGATGGCAGCTATAACAGAGAATGCCGTGCAGACACCACCTACAGTTCAAACTCAGGTAGTGCCAGAGAATCAGATTCAGAACCAAGAAAGAGGTGGAGGAAATTTCCGGGGAAGAGGCAAAGGAAAAGTTGGCCGGTTCACTGGATGTTACCTATGCAGTCAGGGGGGCCATTGGGCCAAAGATTGTCCTCAACAACACATGCAATACCCACCACACGTATTGGAATATACTACTACACAATTTCAGCAGCCCCAGACTCAACAGTGTTATCCCCAATTTCAACACCAGCAAACGCCTGTGTATGTTCCCACCCAATCACAGCCACCAGCGCCAGTGTACAATTCAGTACAGTATCAACAGAGGGGAAGTGGATTCCAGGAACAACCCAGAGAAGGAGGGGTGCCAAACAGGAACCAAATGCCTCTGACAGCTTGGAGTGGTCCACACCAATGAGGAGGCCCAGAGGATCCAATCACAGGTGAAGCCATTCCAGCCCAAGATGAACCAATGGTCACCTGTGAGATTGAGGGGGAGAAGATAGAAATGATGGTGGATACAGGAGCCACAGCTTCCTGCTTGACTGCATTAAAAGGAAAACCACCTCCACTCTCAAAACACACCCTCAAAACAGTTGGATACTCGGGACAAATTGATGTACAAAGATACACATTTCCATTGGTCACAAAAATTGGAAAGCAACTCCTGCAACATCCATTCCTCTATGCCCCAAACTGTCCCATAAATTTGATGGGAAGAGACCTGCTCGTCAAATCAGGAGCAAGGATATTATGCACCCCGGATGGGCTGATTATCCAATTTCCAGGCCAAATACCGCTCTACCAGACGTATGATGGACAACAAAGAATCATGATGATGGCAGCAAATCCAGAAAACGACGAAGAACATGACACAACCACAGTGTACTGGAGCCGCCTGATCACCACCGACATTGATACCCCACATGTGCAAAGAACCTTCATGGCCTGGAAGCCATGGATAAATACCTTAGGACCCTATGGGCCCCCACAAGATCCTCTACATTGTACGTACAATTATCTGAGACGACCGGATGAAGAATATCAAGACGCTTGGTTGGAAGACAAAGAGGGAATGATGGAAGATCTGACTGTGGCAGACATCTATGTAGGGCCCCAGGGTGTAGCAGCAGCGGTCACACTCACACCAGAACAAAGACAATGGTACAATTTATCTGAAGAAGCTGTTCCTCATGTCACACTTGCCATGACCATAGGAGCGGAATCCAGATCCTTGGGTCCAATGATAAAGACTGCTTTGAACACAAACTGGTTGGCTACAGAATCACCTTTCTTGTGGCAATCAACAGACCAGACGATGTGGAGAATTGGAAACAATAGTCAGGAACGAGGTCTATTGGAAAAACAGGATTTGGACAGAGATCATGGAAGAGAACACACAAACCATCCAGACACAGAACACATGCTGTCAAAGGTGCCTACACATCTTTGGACCACTGGAGACTATGATGTTGGATTAGTGAATCATGAAGTCTCAGTGGAGCTATTGGGCGACTACAAACCATGTTGGCGCCCGCAATACAAATTGAAGCAAGAACAAATAGATGGGATCGGGAATACTATTCAGGGATTGTTGCAAGCTGGAGTAATCAGACACACCTTCTCAAATTGGAATACTCCCATCTTGCCAGTACCAAAAGCTGGCAACAAGGGATGGAGAATGGTCCATGATCTAAGAGAAATAAACAATGTCACTAAAACCGCTAATATTCCTGTCCCCGATCCACATGTAGCGTTGCAGAATCTTAATCCAGGTCACAAATATTTCACAGTGATAGATCTAGCTAATGCATTTTTTTGCTTGCCATTAGATCCAAATGTCCAGGACATATTTGCATTTACCTACCAAAGACAGAGATACACCTACAATCGGATGCCACAGGGTTACAAAGACAGTCCAGGTTTATTTAACCGTGCTTTAAAACAGGACCTCAGTGCATTACAACTACCAGAGGGAGTGACTCTGATACAATATGTCGATGATTTACTTCTAGCCGGACCAGATGCAGCAACATGTCTGGCTGTAACACAACAACTACTAATCCTACTGGCCAATGTAGGATTCAAGGTGAAGAAAGAAAAAACACAGATCGCAAGGAGAACAGTTACATTCCTAGGAAGAATGATTTCCTCCAACAGCCTAACTCTGACACCAGCACAAAGATCTTCCATCCTCTCTCAACCAAAGCCTAAAACCGTGCAACAGATGCTTGCATTTCTGGGCCTAACGGGGTACAGCAGGACCTACATACCTGACTATGTGGATCTCACACAACCACTGAGACACATCATTGCAGAAGCAGGGAACAGAAATCTAAAAGCCACTCTCGAGTGGACATTGTTGGCCGAAGACGCTTTCACAAAGACAAAGCAAGCCCTGAGTCAAGCGGCACACCTTGCCACTCCTGATTATGACAATGATTTTTTCCTTGATGTTTCTGAATCAGGTGGAATAGTCAATGGAGTCCTGTTTCAGAAAAAAGGGGGAGTGAGACAGGTACTGATGTACCATAGCTCAAAGTTGGACAATATAGAACTAGGCCAGACAGGATGTGCAAGACATCTAGCTGCACTAGCAAAAGTCATTGAGAAAACTGCACATGTGGTAATGTGCCACCCATTGAAAGTCAATACAGCACATGGAGTAGTCGCATTTATACATTCACAAGCATTCACATTTTCACCAATCAGGAAAATCAAGATTCAGAGTAGTCTGTTGAAACCACACATAACGTACCAAGTAGGGTTAACAAACATGTCTACAGGATTGAGTACAGATGAACACCCACCCCATGACTGTGAATTTGTCTCCAAAAAAGATCTCAAGATAAGATTTGATTTAGAGATAGACGCTTTGGACAAGCCAGATCTCACTTTATACAGTGATGGCTGTTGTTACAAGGGAGACGACGGAAATGTGGCCTCCTATGCAGTAGTCCAGCAGGAGGGAGACACGATACAGGTCATAGAAGCAGAAACCATCTCCCAGCCTGCTTCGGCCCAACTGGCAGAAGTTGTGGCACTCACCAAAGCTTTGGAGCATGCAGAGGGACAAAGAGTCAACATCTATACAGATTCAGCATATGCCTATGGAGCAGTGCATATAGACGGACCACAGTGGATCAGAAGAGGGTTTCTAACATCTGCTAAGACACCAGTAAAACATGCTGAAGCGCTAAAACTCCTGCTAACATCGGTACTATTGCCATCACAAGTAGCAGTAATGAAATGCAAAGGACATCAAACATTGGACAATGCGATATCCAGAGGAAATGATGCAGCAGACAAAGCAGCAAAGCAGGCAGGAGGGTACAGCAAGCAAATGATATGTACGAAGGCCAATACTCAAGAAGAGTTAACCACCGAACACATCATAGACATGCAGAAATGGGCTGGAGTGTATGAACAGAATCAATGGAGTCAGAAAGGAGCAAAAGAAGTAGATGGCCTATGGAGAGCCCACGATGGCCGTTTAGTCGCACCTGCAAAGTTATGCCACCTGCTAATAGAGCAATCACATGGTCCCACTCATGTAGGCAAAGCAAGAACAACAAAAGACATTGAACAACAGTGGTGGCATCCTTACATGAAAGACATGGTTGAAAACTTCGTAAACGACTGTGATACTTGCAATGCATTTAATGTAAGAAAGCCATACAAATGCCCAATGGGAAGATATCCAGTCCCAGAAGCCCCATTCAAAGACATTTGTATTGATTACACAGACATGGGAGCAGAGAATGTAGTTAGAGGGTTTAGGTATATGTTGGTAATGATTGATCGTTATACCAGATGGATTGAAGCCATTCCCAGTAAGAAAGAAGATGCAAAGACAGTCATTAAGTGGCTTAAAACAGAACTTATACCCCGCTATGGAGTACCAAAGATAATAAGGTCAGACAATGGCTCTCATTTCACAAGCAAACATTTGGAGGAAGTCGAGTTATATTTCGGTATAATTCATAAGTTTGGGTCAGCATACCACCCACAGTCGCAGGGTATTGTAGAAAGAGCAAACCAAACATTGAAAGGGAAAATTGCAAAGGTCACTTTTGGTACAAAAATCAAATGGGTTGATGCTTTGCCTTTGGCACTCATGTCAATGAGATCATCTCAGGGTGCTAAAACACATCTTTCACTCCATGAGTTGTTGACTGGTAGGCCAATGCCAGGTCCTCCTAGAGAAGGAGGGAGTGGCCCAGCTTTAGATATCAGACAAATAGAAGTTGATGAATATGTCAGGGCGCTGAGTAACATTATCCAAGTTTTGTCTACACAGGTTCAAAGAACTGCAGAGAAACCAGACGAAGCACCAGAAGAGACTCCGCTACAGCCAGGTGATTGGGTGAGGTTGAAAGTTCACAAAAGAAAGTGGGCTGAACCCAGGTGGACGGGACCGTGGGAAGTTGTTGAAAGAACTTCACACGCGCTCCGGATAAAAGGAAAAAAAGGAGCAAATTGGCACCACCTGACACATTGTCGCCCTACACTGGCACCTTCCAGAAAGCTCTCGGAAGTTAGGACTGATTTGGCAGAGCTGGAACAAAACGTTAAATAAAAATCAGTTCAAGAAACAGAGAGATAGAAACAGCTCGAAAGACGAATTATTTTTAGGTTAATAGATGGATCACTAAAAGCTACATACCTATTCTTGTTACATCTGAAACCTATTGTTGTACATTTAGAAAGAGTCCAATATTTTTGTTCTATTATTTTGAATACGTTATTTTTGTACTCATCATGTTAAACTCTGTAACTGATATAACCATGGATAAAATCGACGAAATGCCATTAAAAAAGTCGAAGCAATTATGGACCCCCCTAAGGATAAGAGTCGTAATATCAATGTTAGTCTTGTTCATTACAATTGGCATCTTCCTGGCCGGGTGGGGAGTACGACATCGTAAAAAACCCAAATCCATTCGTGCACTCATAGAAAATGCCACTGTCACTAACAAAACTCCAGCTGTCTTCCAGAGATTCCCATTTATCCCCAGAGCTAAAAGATCAGCAGAGCAACAGAAGGAGGGGTTAGAAATACTCATTCCCAGAGGTGAAGCAGTCACGGTCAGTCTTGATGTGTGTGATGTAGTTGTCTGTGGAGAAATGCAAGATGCAACAGGTCACGACGTTTATGGGTGTATTCATACTTGGGGACAGCCAGATGATAATACATGGTGTCCAAGATCAGAGAGGGTATACTGGAGTGCTAGGGATGAAGGAAATAACAATTCCCCAGGCTCAGGTTTCAGGTCCCAGCTATCTTTGTCCAAAGGTCGCCATAGTGGAGATAGTAGCAAACATAATCCAATAATAATTGCTTTTAAAGACTCACTCACTCCCCATTTTGCAAACAAGGGAGAAGCAACTGCATTTCATTTAATAATAGGAATAGAAGTTCCTGGTAGAGACCCAGTGGGATCAATTCTGGTGAAAATAATTGATCTCGCCCCAAAATACACTGAATCCATGTCTCATCCAGAACCACAAATACCCCCTGCTAAATCTGTGAACAATCCACTGGTCACCTATCTGAGTACACCTAGTGTACAGAAAGTTATAGCAGTAGAAACGGGATACGAGGACACAAATGCCTGGTTAGACTGGGTTGTGTATTCGGTTAAACAGAGCAATATGGCAGACTGTCTGGCCTGTGCAGCTGCTCGACCAAGTTTGGGAACAGTGCCATTTCCATTTAACGCCCACAATAACCCACAAGGACAGATCTGTATGTACAAACTCTATGAAAAAAAATCCCCTGCAGATTGCGTCGAGATGGCTCAAAAATATCCAGTGGTAAAAATGAATGACATTCCACCTGCCTTCACGTCTTACGAGGGACTATATGACTGCATCACAAGGGACTACCTAAAAGGTACTGAAGTAGGAACTCTTAGGTGGTGCAATTCTACAACGGCTGTAATAAATCAGGATTTTCTCCCAGGTATAGCTATGCCCATCCAGCAGTATCCCAGAGCAGATGTGTGGTGGTATTGTGGCACTAAAACCTTGTACCCAGTTTTACCACGAGATTGGACGGGGACCTGTGCTATGGTACAGCTAGTGATGCCTTTTTATGCAGTACCAATGACGGCCGAGCAACTGATAAGAATGGCACTCCAACCCAAAGCAACCAGGGCCAAAAGGTCAGCCCCTAGAGGGAGTTTTGGTTCCACAGTATACATGGACAGCATAGGGGTGCCCAGGGGAGTTCCAGACGAGTTTAAAGCTAGAAACCAGATCCTTGCAGGGTTGGAATCCATTTTCATTTGGCCTACTGTAAATAAGAATGTTGACTGGATTAACTATATCTACTACAATCAGCAGAGATTCATGAACGACACCACAGACGCGCTTAAGGGGATGGAGGAACAACTGGAAAAAACCAGCCTGATGACTTTGCAGAACAGAATGGCTGTAGACATGATTCTGGCAGAAAAAGGGGGTGTATGCAACATTTTTGGAACATTATGTTGTACTTTTATCCCCAATAACACATCACCGCACGGATCAGTAACTAAGGCACTGAAGGGACTCACTGCACTGAGCATGGAGTTGGCAGACAATAGTGGAATAGGAAAAAACCCCCTTGGGGATTTCTTTGATGGACTGGGAAAATACAAAAATTTAGTACTGAGTGGATTAATGTCTATCTCGGGTATGGTTGTAATATTGGTACTGTGTTGTCTTTGTGGCATTACATGCATCCGCACTTTAGTTAACAGACTGATCGCCGCGGCCCTCACCCAGGAACACACTAGGGGTCAATATCTCATGAGGGGACAGTTTCAACTACTAACAGAACAAGACTACCCACCCCCATATACAGATCGTGATGTAAATGATGAGAGTGTGTAAAAGATGTTAAGTAATGGAGATGTTCGATGATGAGATTGTTCAAAGAATGTCCCAATGATGAGATTGTTCAAAGAATGTCCAAATGATGTGATACTTCAAATGATGAAATCATTTAAAGGAAGAACCAGCTACAATGCTAATATGAAGGGAATCAATGCAATTTACTATACTATTCCAAGATGGAGTATTCTTTATTACTTTATACTATTCCAAGATGGTGTATTTTTTATTTACTTTGTACTAAAAAAAAAAAAAAAAAAAAAATGTGTTTCTTTTATACTTTGTAAAAACAAGTGCCTTAACACTGAATGTAGTATGAGAAGGATTTCTGTGAAAGGAGGGAGTAAGAAATGTTCTGATACCAAGCTAAGTGGTGCTATTCATGATATTGAAGGTTAACACTAGAAGTTATGCACAAAGAAAATGTTTATGATTGAAGACCAGCCAAAGTATTTTTTTTACTTGTTGTATTTTTTGTATTTTTGATGATGGTTATTTAAACCATTACATTTATGATTGTATGTTTTTTGATATGCGATATGTACTATGCACAGTTCAGATGAAGAACTCATTACTTTTAGTATTATGTTCACACCTTAAAAGGTGTGAAAGGAGGGATTGTTAGAAATTTAAAATCAATGTTTACAGATGAAGAACTCATTAATTTCAGTATTGTGTTCACACCTTAAAAGGTATGAAAGGAGGGATTGTTAGAAATTAAAATCAATGTTAATAGCATAATTGGTCTAAAATATATCGTCAGTTTTAAAAGCTGTTTTATTGTGAAAAAACCCGGAAGTTCTCAGTCTCAATGCCAAGCTTTTATTCTGAAAATCCTTCATATCCGGTCAGTACGTAGCATGTCGTAAAAGTGTTTCTAGGACTTCTAAACTAACGATTACAGCTGTTTATAAGGTATTAAATAGAAAGTCATGACAGAGATAATGAGGAGAAAATGCTTAAGGAAGTAGGCAGAGAATATCAATGTCGAAATCATCTGTGCTCTCGCGATATCGAACCGGCAAATGAGTAGGGAGGGCCCACTATTGCACAGCGGGAGACAACGAGACATGGATAAAAACAGCAGACAGAGGACCGCTCCGCCCTTCTTCGCTGCAGCCACTCTGAAGACAACACCGGCTTTGTCTTTTCCTTACCCTCTGCTTGTTGTATCATCGTGCCATTTAATTAAACTCACCAATTTGAACCTTTTCGGAGACTCCATTAGTCTCTTCATTCTAAGCTCCTCTCCTGGACGCGAGAACATCGAATACTTCTAAAAACACACACTTCTTACAGTGTTTACTCTCACCAAAAGTTCAGTATTGATATCCTCTCTTACTTTTCATGGTGACATTTTTAGTGTTGTTAGGCCAGGGAAACACCCTTCTGTTTTGTTTGGAGCTAATTTCCTGCCATAACTCCACAAACAAACTAAACAGGTTTTACAAATGCCTTATGATTCACTAACAAACACAATGTGGTTTGCAAATACAAAACACCATCTACAAACTAATGAATTTAGTTTTGCAAAGAAAAAACGTATCTATCAAACAAACACATAACATTTTTCTAATAAATCATGTTTCAGAGACAAATTCAGCTTAGGTTTTACAAGTACACAACTTTTTTTTACAAGTACAAAACTTTTTTTTACAAGTACAAAACTTTTTCTTCTCACGGCGGAATATTACTGCCAAAAGTCACGTGAGTGAGTCACGTGACTTTTGGCAGTAATATTCCGCCGTTGCTGGCTCATACACAGTCACACATGCTCACTCACACATGCTACACGGCAGCAGGGGGCGCTACTGAGTCCATTGGGAAGACGGGAGGTTGAGCAGAGCATGGAACAGCCCTTGCCAGTCTGATGACAGGTGTTCAATGAGTGATACAAATATTTTTTACCACAAGTTCTTAATAAAACTGATACTGTTGGACTCGGTACTAGTTGACTGCTACCAGAAATAAAAGGAAGTACTTTACTGTGTACTTTGTGAGTAATCCTCTGTCAGAGTCCCCTCCATAGTACATAATGCATGTTTTTTGCTATCTTTGATGAATGATAAAAGGGTCATTCCAGAATTGGAGGACAATTTAGACACCAACATTTTTGAAAAATGAACCTTTCATTTTATTATTTTTTGTTATGTATTTAGGAAAAACAGATAATAAACCATAAAAAAAAGTGATTTGCCCAGCTAAGGCATCAAATTTGTATTAGTAAGCCTACTACTAACAATACATTGAAGTACTTTTACTGTGTATTTTTTGAGAAATACTCTGTCAAAGTCCCCTCCTGAGAACAAAATCAAGCCACTTCTTCTAAGTTTGATGAGGGAAAAAAATATTTTTTGGGTGATTTAATGGGTGATGTAACATTAATGACAGACATAATATGAGGTCCTTGGCACTCTAGAGGGGTCATTTTGTGATCATGGGGCATCACCCTTACAGCATCAGGACAATATCATATGGAGTCAGATACTGGAAGTGGGCTGGAGGCGTTAACTGGGACTGATGGAAGGATGAGGCTGATGAGACTGAAGAATCTGCGAGGAACGAACTAGCGGCAGAGGAATAATTATATATTAAAAGACAGCAGCATCATAAGAGGGCAACCATGTGACAGAGTGTGTTACTTTGCTGAAGGATATTTCTGACCAGCTATCCATTCCAGGCCAGACTCTAAAGACTTTCCAAGGTGTGAAAATGCTGCTGCCGGAGTACTGACTGGAAGTATTGCTGATATCATGTCTG